CCAATTAAGTTGACATATCAGAGATATACAAGTTTTTGATATTCAATAATTGTCACCGGTAGGAATTGAACTCTAGATCTGCCACTTGGGGGGTGACAAGAGTATATCAGGGCAGCCCCCCCAAAGTCCAGGTCGATGATCAATGCCAGGTCGATGATTGTTTACGACAATGGCGGTAGATAATCGCGATAAGCTATGGCAGTAATGTCAATCATCGATCTGACACCCGATGTCGATCATTGACCCGAACTTTGGGGGCTGCCCTGATATACTCGGGTGACAACTTGACCACTTCACTAAGTCACTACACCCATTTATTTATATATTTTAATATTGTTATAATAAAATTTAATATATTAAAATTGTATAAAAAATATATTGTATAAATACTTTAATTTTATTTATTTATTTATATATTTTAATATTGTTATAATAAAATTCAATAGATTAAAATTATATAAAAAATATATTGTATAACTATTTTAATTGTATTTATTTATTTATATTTTTTAATATTAGTATTATATAATTTAATATATTAAAATAATATTATTAAAATATAATAATAGTATAAAAATTCTATTATTTTTATAAAAATTATAAATTATATTATTATAATATTAAAATTATATAAAATTTGTATAATTAAAAAAATATAACTAGCATGATTACGTAACACTAACGTAATCATACTAGTTAAAAATTACTATATTATAATACGTAAATAAATTCACACAAACTCCAATATTGAAAAAAATAAATTTACTATATTTTTAATAGAAATAGTTTGACTAATCACTTAAACACTTTATAAATCTGACAACATAAAATTAAATAAATATTAAAAACCAACAAAATTTTTTAAAAAAAGATGTGAATTTACAAAAAAAATGATAATTTTGAATTGTCAAAACTTCACATAAATTTATGCAATGAAAGAAAAATGTATAAAATTTAGTTTTGAATAGGAGATTTTAAAAAAACCAACCAAATTTTATTCAAAATATTTTTTATTTTCTACGTGTAAATTTTTTAATTGTGAAATTGTATAAAAAATATTAAAAAATATTGTGTTTTTTTAGAAAAATACATTAACGATTTTTATTTTTTCACAACCCTTAAAAATTATCAATATTTTGTCATTAATATTTTATTCAAGTTAATAACTTGATATAGTAATAATTTATATTGATTAAATTTATATTACGATAAAAATAATTTATACTGTTTTACTTTAATTTTAGATTAAAATTTATATTTACAATATATTTTGATAGTCTAAAATTTTAAAATAATGATTTATGTTTGTGATTGACAAATATACAAATTACATTAATTTTAGTTTAGTTTTTTTTATGAAGGATCAACAAAAAAACTTTTCAATTTTTATTGCCTAATTTAGATATACAGATTTGTTCATTGTAGATAAGGTAAATTACTTAAAACTGTAAATTGAACCGATTAAGAATTTAAATCGGTAAAAATTACGAATTAGGAGATTAATATAAAAAATTAGAATAGGTTCTGAATTAGGAATTGTGATAAAATAAATTTGGGATAATTAATAAAATCACAAATGTACTTTAAAATAATTATACTAAGATTTAGTATGTTTATAAAAAAAACATCTTGAAGTTAGAAAGTGTATGATGCGATTCGCCTGGGCCGCGTCAATTGACGAAAATCTGACTTTTAGCCAGATTTTGCCTGGCACAAATCGGCAATCGCATCTAATTTGTAGTATTCAATCGCCATACAGCTCGCTGCATTCCCTACTGTGGGTTCGATACAGACTAACGCTTAGCTCTCACCCACCAAACTCAATCACCGTTTGTGCTTTTGTAGAGGAAATCAGAACATGTTTTACTTGTAATTAATTTTGAATTTTGATTTGTACCAAAACTTTAATTGTTAAATCTATAAAAATAAATAAAGAACGTAAAGAGAAGTATGAAATAATAATTTAACAAAAATGGATCAAGTAAAAATTACTGGCGGGGAGATGGTTTTGGCAGAGAATGCTAGAATGCAAATAAAAATTTACGAATTGCAGCAACAGATTCGTGCTTTAAATACTGACAGAGATGAATTGGTTCAAGAAAACACATGTTTAAGAAATAGAAACGATCAATTTGAAACTGATAATAATCAGACTCGTGCAGCAAATGAGAATCTGACGCGATTAAACAACGCGTTGAAAATTGTTTTGAGAGATGCTGAAGACGAAAGAGACCATTATCGCGCTGCTAATATCAAAGAGTTTGAGGATTTTATCTCAAATTATATCTTTGGGTTGTTCAATAATATTGGTGAATTGCTTAGAGTTGATAATCGATATATGACAAATATTGTGAATTTTTTAATACTTTATAACTTTTTCCAAATCCCTATCGTATTTCATTATATTAAAATAATTTATAGAAAGTTTTTGTTTCCAGTTTTCATAATTCCTTATGTGAATCTCACAGAGATGAAGAGAATTCGTGTTATTGAAGTACTATTTGTAAACATTATTATAATCTACTTTGGATTATTTTTAATTTTCTTTGTATTTGTGAGAATCGATAAAGAAGTTGTTATACTTTTTTTTAATCATGAATAAAGAGGGTTATTGTTTTTTTTATTGATTGTAAACGAATCATTATTATGATTCTTGTAAATTAATTGTTTTTACAATTGTAAATTTGTTCTTTGTTATTATTAGTGATAATAATATTAATATCATTTTGTTCTTGATGCTCTAAATTATTCTCAATAAAATTAAATAATTTTGAATTTAACAATTTGATTAACTTTTTTTTATCATCTTCTGTCAAAATTTTATCTGTCTGAATTCTTTTTTTTAATTCTAAAGACGAATAAAAATCTTTTGCATATTGATTCAAATCAATAAAACTATAATAAGAAAATTGTGAAGCTCGTATATTATGTAAATTTGTTTTGAATTTAGGATTTAAATTTGCCTGTTCAATAATATTAAACATTTCTCCATTATCTAATGATGTTAGTGAATAGTAATTTTCAAATTTTGTTTTTTTAATTAAATTTTCAATTTTATGATATTCTTCTGGAAAAAACGCGTATTTCCAAATTATTTCTGCATCTTTTGAAGAAATTTTGTTAGTTTCTTCTTTATCATCATTATAATATCTACAAAATGCAAATGTTTGATTGATTAACAAAAATAAAATTAACAATTTTTGAATCAACATTTTTTATTTTTATAAAAAAATAAATAGATAATTGTTTTATATATTTTTTTAAAAAAAAAAAATAAATTGAAATTCATTCAGGCGCCACTGAGCTACTTGTTTCTTCGATAATATTATTGTCTTTATCAAGAATAAACTTATGTTGCTTCAAAAAATCTCGATACTTTCTGTCAAGAAGAGCATTTTGTTTATCACTCAACTTAATTTGAGTATATTCAGTTATGTGTCCTTCATCATCAGGAAACATAATTGGTCTTCGAAAATTTGTGTTTTTGTTCTCTCTGAACCACCAAAATTGTTCTTTTTTACACATCTTTGTTAGTTGAATCTTGAGTATCGATATCTGAATTATTTAACGATTGAGACATTTTTGAAAACAAAATTACATAAATAAAAATCTAATCGGTTTTAAACTGATTAGAATAATTAGACAATTTTTCAGGTTCCAGCCTGAAAAATTGTGGTACCCTCTTTATTCTTAATCTTGGACGATGCTCTGCGCTTTTTTCGTTCTTCAGAGAAGAACCAAGCTTTTTGTTTTTTCATCAGTTGTTTCTTCAATATAACAAATGCCTCGATTTGATGATAAACAAATTACAACAAGTTGTAATTTGTTTCTAATCAAAATCTCATTTTTGTCATATCTCA